ACAATATTCCTTTGTATGTAGACACGGTAGAAACATAAAAAAAGAATAAAATAGGAGAACAATGATAACAAAAAAATGTTTAACTTTGAAAATGTTTCGGATATGTTTTGAGGGTAAAACAGTTTTAATAGTAGCAGCTTGCACAAAAATACTGGAACTGTAGCTGCGAGGGCAGATCGCCCTTGCGTACCTGCCTACATTTTATATATGTACATAAATGTTTGAACATTAAAACTGATAAGATATGATGGACAATATTAAATTGTGATAATTTCAATTCAAAAGTAGGAGGAAAAGTTTTTTCTTTTGAGTTTGATAAAAGAGTATGTATATGTATAATTTTAAAGTTATGCAATATATTTTTTTTAATAATTTATCAATATTAAATACATTCTTTTTTACTTTGTGTTAACACAACTCACACTGTTTATCATAATTTTTACAACCACTTAGTTATTTTAAGGGAATTAGCAACTTTTTAGCACGTGTTTGAGCATCATATTTTTTTTGTACATGTTTTCACTCAAGAATAATGGAATTAATTTATAAAGTATTATCGAAGTGCTCAAGTGTGGAAGAAATTAAGAAGAAAAAATAAAATGTTTTAATATAATATGCCTATAGAGAAAAAACTATTATAAAATGTAAAAGAAAATGTCTTATAAGGGGGTCGTATTATTAGATAATGAATGATGTTGCTGATTATCCTAAATGTACTTTTTGTAAATTGAGTCGTATTATGTACAATATTGCATTCATTGTAAAGAAAATGAAGTTAAAACTTTGTGATTTGATCCATTCCAAATTAAAAATGATTTGCGCATTTATTGAAAAAGAAAATGGGTACCTAATACACAATAGCCTATTTGGGTCTAACTGCAGTTAAAACGAATATTAGAAGACAGAGACATAATTTTGCATATCACATAGCACTTCCTAACAGCTGTTTTAGACATTGTTTACATCAAATGAACTTTTGCAAACACCTTTTTAAATAAACAAACTCGTATAATACCTTATTAGAACATGATTACAAAATAAAATGCGTTTCTAAGCGTTATTTTCGAAATCAAATTCAAAATTCAGTAACTTACAGTTACATAATTAATCTAAGAATTGATAATTTTAGGACCTTTAATTATAACGACTCAGTTTTTGATAAACAAAATTTTCGTGTAATATTTCGCTTACTGGCAAGTGTATGTTAATTATTAATTTACGAGTCTGAATATTTAAGTGTGTGTAATGTATATTTATACGAAAATATAGAACAAGTTTGCCTTATTGTGCCATGAGCAGATTAATTGCAAGGAAGCACAAATGTAGCAAAAATAAAGAAGTGTTGCTTCTTTCTTCCTCCAATGTTCACTTGTAAATGGTATTAAAAATGATGCTGGTAAAAATTTCGAAAAGAAAAAAGATCAATTACAAGTGATTAAATAAAAAAGATTTTTGTACTTATACAGTTATGTAATAGAGCTTGGTGCTTAAGTATTTTGTAATGATGCAAATAATTGAAAATGTATCCGTACCATACAAAACTAAACAGATAAAAATATACATAATGATATTTAATTATAAGATTGGATACTCTTAATAAATAAAGCATTAACGATAAAACCCCACCGAAAATTCTTTTATTGCTAAAATTGATTCTTTAAGTTCGGTTGTCCTTCAAAAGCAAGCAATTTTGTTGTTGACTGTTACTGGAAATCTGATTGTTATTTAATTGCTAGTGTTAAAAATAAAATCAAACTTATTTTACAATTCTTGTTATATATTTTCATGTACCACACCGTTTATATTATAAAACATACATAAGATTCTCAGTTATCGAGTTGAAAGATTTAGTACATAATTGATCATAAAGGAAATGTAATTTCACTAACTTCTAATTTACTTTTGAGAGTAAAACTTTCTAATGGGCATTTACAATTTATTAATCATGTTTTAGCGTTACATCTACTATATACAAAACAGAAAAGCAAATTCATTTTCAAAAACACGTATTTCAAGCAAAATTAGGCATTAGTTTGTCCTACAAAAATATTAAAGAATAAACAGTACAGTCTGTATAAAAATTAACGTTAAAAAATATTCATTGCCTCTTCTGGGGCTCCAAAATTACTTCACTTCCCCATTTTATTCAATTTTACATGTAAATAAAAATAGAATTAGGGAAAAATGGCAATATAAAAAAATCTTAATCGAGACCGTCATCGTCAGGTGCAGGAGGTTTTTGATTAAAATTACCACCTGGAAATCCGGGAAAACCACCTGGAAAACCTCCGCCTGCTGCACCACCCGCCCCTGGGAATCCGGGGAAATTCATCCCTGAACCTTGCAATTTACTTGTGAGTTTTGAAATTAGAGCCATTACTTTTGGATTTGATTGGTACTTGATAAAGTTGGCTGGATTTGTAGAAATATCTTGAAATGCTGCAGCAACTTCAGGATCCTACAAATTTATTAAAGAGTTTAAATCATGTTCAATTTCACTGCAAACTATGATTAAAGAAATATGAGAATGTGGAAAAAGTTCTTGTAAGCATTGGAAAATATTAGAGATAGTACAAACCTGAAAAGCTGTCATTATTTCTGGATCTTGTAGCAATTTATAAAAGTCTTGCATTCCACCAGGAGGAGTGAATGTATCATTGCCACTCTGAGTTTGTCCTTTTTGTTGACCAGCTTCATTAGCAGCTTTTTCCCTAGCTTCCCTTATTTTTCTTAAACGTTCAGCACGTTCCCTTTCTTCCTTTTCTAATCTTTTACGTTCTCTTTTCAGTTTGTGCTGCTCAATTTTTTGAGCATTTGGTGTTACTTCTTTAAGCCATTCATCAGTTTGCTCATCAAAATCAATGTTGGAAGCTTGTCTAAGGTCTTTTGCTGCCTTTTCCCATTCAGCAATCAATCTGTAAGCACGGCCTCTAAATTTATAGGCAGCTGCAGAGTCTGGATTTAATTCTAGTGCTCGAGAACAGTCTTTAATGCAAGCATTTGGTTTGTTCAACTTGAGATAAGTTTGACCACGCTTTACATACAAAACAGCTGAGGTAGGATTAAGTTTAATTGCTTCAGTAAATAATTCCAGGGCTTTTGAATAATCACCTTCACTAAATGCAGCTATAGCTTCTGACCTATATTAAACCAAAAATTATAAACTATAGAGAAATTGAATCTAAACAAATACAGTAATAATAATAATAAAATTGTAAACCCATCATCATACCTCTTTTCACTTGCACTTTCAACATCAGCTTCAGTTGGTTCTTTAGAAAAATCGCCCATTTCCTGGGATGGATCTTCTTTATCTGGTTCTATACACCCTTCAGTATCAAGTTCTAAATCTGACTCAGGTTCCGACTCATTCTTCTCTTCTACTTCTGGGGACACTTCCTCCACTTTAACATCTTCTTTGGGCATGTCTTTTGGGGAAGGAATTGAAGCTCCTAACGATTCTAAGTATTGCTTGAAAAAACTTAAATCTGGATCATGAAGCACGTTAGGGTTTGAAGAACAAAAACTAACAAACGCCTTCAATTGGGCAAGGCTCTCTTTGTTAAATGGGCAACTCATGTTGACTGTTTCACTTTCTGAAATAACTAATCAGTTTTATTCTCAATAACAGACGAGATTTATTATTTAAAATGAAACTGTAAACCGGTAATTCGTTGTCAGATAAAATAACAAACACAAAACACTGCTATGACCACTTCTAAATTTCTGGAACGCTTTATAGAAAAATAAATAAGACCAGCTTCTCTTTGAGACGTTAAGTTGCTATCTATGTTATAATCTGGTTATAATCTAAAGAAAATTTTTATTGAAATCAAAATTATAAAATAAGTGCGGCAGTTTATTGAAAATTCATGGCAAAAAAAGTAATTAGAAACAAATCTATAAATTTTATAACAACTCTATTAAAAAAATAATACCATTGAAATATAGAATTTACATCTATTACAAACATGAACGTATCTTAATCAATTATCATAATAGTAGTGGGACAGTATATATTTCTTTAATCTATGGATAATATGGTTACGTTATGAAATGGTTATGTTTTGCATTGTTAAGACTTTTATTAGTAATTAAATACAGTTAACACTTAATTATTTGTTTCTACTGATTTCAGTTGTAGTGAACTTGAATATGACCGAAGCAGGACCTCCTGTAAAGGTAGAACAAGTAGGTATTTTATCCACACTACGAATTAACATTTTTTTTTATAATTATGTGAAGAGGTACAGAAAAGAAGAAAAGGATCATGACTCTGATTCAGACGATAATTACACTCCATACATTCCAGTAAAAGAAAGAAAAAAACTTCAGCTATTAAAATTAGGACGATTGGGACAGGTGAGATAAAGTGATTTTGTAGGAGTTACAGTTTTAGTATTTCATATTTTTAGATCAAAGAAGCTGAACAGAATAAACATAAATCATCAAGCGAAAATGAGACAAATGAAGAAGATGAAGATGATGAAGGTATTTGGGGAAGAAAAAATAATGTTTCACTTCTTGATCAACACACAGAACTTAAGAAACTTGCAGAAGGTAAAACTTACACTCACCAGTAAGATGGAGCTTTACATCGAATGTATTTTTTGCAGCTAAAAAAGTAAGTGCAGTTGAAAGGCAACTGAAGAAGGAAGAGGAAATTTTAGAAAGTGTAGCAGAAAAGAAAGCTCTTATGGGAGTTTCAGAATTAGCCAAAGGTATTCAGTATAGTGAACCTATCAAAACAAGGTAAGAAACTTATTAAAAGTATTTTTTTTATTAATTATATTCTAATTGTTTTCATCCCTTTATTAAAAGTATCTTGTGTACTGTAATGATCTTGCAATGTTCTTTAGTTTTTATTTTCATTTTCCCTCAGTTTGGTGTTTTAAAAAATCTTTTATGTTTCAGCTGGCATCCTCCTCAATATATATTGGACTTACCTCCAGGAAGACATGAGAGGATAAGAAGAGATCTAAGAATTTTGGTAGAAGGTGAAGATATCCCACCTCCATTAAAATCTTTTAAAGAAATGAAATTTCACAAAGCCATTATAGAAGGACTTTCAGAGAAACAAATAAAAAAACCAACACCAATACAAATTCAAGGGATTCCTACAGTGTAATATATTTTTAACATTATTATAAAAAAATAAGATACCCTATTATAATATTATTATTTTAAATCCTTAGATTATCTGGACGAGATATGATTNAAAGTATTGGTTTATTCTTTTTATTTAATTAATTAATGAAGGTGTTTCAAACTTGATTGATTCAGAATGTTATCTTTTAAGAATCCATCCTCTTCAGTAGCAAATCAGCACCCAGGAATATTCTGTGTTCAATAATCGATTTTTGGTTGACAGGCAATAAATTGAAGTTGTCCTTGTTCTCCAAGGCCTTTTGATATCTTTAACCTGGTCTATACCAATAAAAATTTACGTTATTTATCAAAGTAGTCATTATAGTAGTCGTATATCTCTTACGCTCTTTAAAATGTTAACTGTTATTACTGACTACAAAAATATAGAAAGACAATAGCATAATAAAACCTAGTTAAAGTGCATAGATCTTTAATAGAAAAATATTACTTCATTTTTCAAAGGTAGAGTTGAGTATTAATTATTTTAGAAAATTACATATTTGAAACCAAAAAGGTAACAGAAATACATTCCCTTGTTGATTATTACAGAATCTTGTTGAAAAAGTGCTTGAAAGAACTATAGAAGTATTAAAATTTCATAATGTAATAAACAGGTAATTAATTTGTTTTAATCGTAACACTACAACTTTTATAATTTCATTTCAACTAGTAAGTAGTTTATCGTATCCTTTTTCAGGATCGAGAATTGAATTGTTTGCGGAAATTGTCCAAAAAAAATGAAGATAAATTTAATTACTTAAAAAAAAACAAAGCAATTAATATGCTTTTATATTTAGCTTTCAAATAATGTTGAATCTTTTATCAAAATGCTTTCACAAATGTTATGAAAACAAAATTTCCAGCCACAAACAATTTGCTATTAAAAATACAATATTAAGTTTTGTTTGTTTAAATACAACAATTCGGTCACAAATGTATTAATCGCTGCTGTTGGTGTTGATAACAGAATCATTTTTGATCATTACAAGGGTCAGTGATACAAGTATTTTGGGGTTTCAGTTGAAAACAACAGTTCCTGCTAGACGTTTCTTTTACAATCAATTTCCATGGTAACAAATTAGTACGATATATCAGAGGACTTAAGTTATTAATTAAATGTGTCTTATTGAGAATTAAAGTCAAAGGTGACGTTTAGTAAAAAAGTTAAGTAAATGTACAAACTATTGTATTTTTAAGAAGATTACCGTTGTCTTGCCGAAAAATAGATAAAATGTAATTTATATGTATTACCTGTTTTGAAAACAACTTAAATATTATTTACATTTAGCTTTCCAGTGGTAAGTGCAACTATATAAATTAAAAAGCTTTTTTAATATGTAAAAAGCTTAAAACTGTTCGATTCTTAAGATGCCACAACAGATTCAAAATAATTTTTAGTTTATTATTTGTTGTATAAAACGAAAACCGATTTGTTTGATATATAATAAATTATAATTTATCGATATCAAATTTTTGTTCGTAAATGTGATAACATACAGAGCGGTTGATAAATAATTCAAACCAATTTCCAGAAAATTGTTTAGAGTACCTTTTCGGAAAATTGCTAGTAGGGGATCTGATACATTTTGTTTTTCATTGTAAATATAAAATAATGGTAATAATAACTAAAAAAACGCCCTATATTCGCCCTTTCAAATGAATGTATCATCCTGTATATAGCTGTGATACCTTGTTATGAACAACATCAAGGTTCTAAAAGGCTAGTTTTTCTTATTAAAAATTTATAGATAACCGCGTTTTATAAACTACATATGTGCCTTATGTGTTATTACGTACCTACAGAGATATCGATTTATGTAACTAAAGTATTTCGTTACTTGTAACTTGAGGCTTGCCTTTCCATGATAAAAGTACTTGTACGCATCCGCATTTGAAAATGAGTTTTAGACTCGAGTCCATTACTTACAAAAATATTTGCTTTCGGTAGATCATTTTCATCCCCCGAAAAATCATTCATTTCATACCAAATGAGGAAAAGGGAAAACCATAACTTTCTAAGTTTTTTTAAATTAATGTTTGTTTATCGAAAGAAGTCTTTATATGAATTCTTGCGCTAATTTAATAAAAAGTTTACAGTATAGATACGATTTAAAAATGATTTTCTTTATATGTTTTTTGTGTATTTATTATGATTTCTATTTGTTTCAGAAAAATAAGATCATTATCGGACCACGATACGTCACGCAGGGGTGGTAGGCCTATGGGCCTCTCCAGGGTCTGGCCGACGACCGTTGGCCAAGTCCGGTAACCTGGGTATGCGCAGTAAGTTAGGAGGGTTTATCAATAATGCTGTCCAAGCCACAAAAAAATCTCCAGGTAAATACATTCAATCGTAAGTTTTTGGGCATTATTTTTTTTTATACACTTTACAATGATTCTGTAGACAGTGACAGTGGTTTTGTGCATTGTTTTAATAAAAAAATTTTATGAATATAATAGTAGCGCAACCACGATGACCACCCTGTATATTCTAATTAAGGCATGCTACATAAATTATGTTTACGTTGCGATGGTCACGTGTTGGTTTGAAAATGTAAACTGTGTAGTTCAATATTTGCAAAGAACCGTAGCCGCCATCTGTGAATCATTGGCAGCTTTAGTGATATTAACCTTGAAGTGACTCCATCGATAGCGAATGCGTTTCCATTATTTTATGACCTTACGCCACCCATGATTTTGTGTATGAATTTGTGCGAAAATCGTTTATTTCTTTTTATATTCAATTTTACTTCACGTTTCCATGTACGATTATTGTCGATGTGCTTATAGTGCAAACAGGTGTTTAAAATTGTTCGAGTGCGTTTTAAGGAAACCGTTTTTCTCTTAAAATGGCCGGCAAGTGGTATTGTAACTTAGCTTGTCGTCGATCCTGACCCCGTTCAGCAGCACGGGATATGTCTCATTAGTTTTACCAACAACTGTTTTTTGATAATTATGGAAGGTAAACAACATTCGTTGGTTGTTATTTTGTTTATTGCGTTATAGCTTGTCGGTGTCTCTTCATGAAGTATGTACACATGAGGATCCATTTCACTTGGAGGGAAAAATGCAATTCCAAAGACTAACGAGAAACCAAAAAAAGCCTTTTTAATGTAGATTTTGATCAAGCTACCATGAAACCTTTAATCGATTGTTTTTGTTTCGAACGTGCTTTTATTAGTAATAAATTGTAAACCTGCTTGGAAGTAAAATAGTTTTGTTATAGATAAGTGCATCTGTTCGAAACTACAAACAATTATATGAAACAAAGCTAGATTTAATTTTGCAAACGTTTAGAGTGTGTATTTTTATTAATGTCCACTTTATTAGTATACCTTCATTTTGAGGTTATGCTATAAGTGGTTGTTAAAAGAAAATCCTCCTAAATTTCGTTTTATCTAATTAAAATATGATTGATAGGTAATGGAGACATTCAGTGGACCTTTTCTCAAGTGAAGGGAACATTAGATGATGATGTGACAGAAGCAGACATAATATCATGTGTAGAATTCAATCACGATGGAGATCTTTTAGCCACTGGGGACAAAAGTGGCCGTGTAGTAATTTTCCAACGTGACCCCACTTCAAAGAACTCACTTCCAAGACGTGGTGAATATAACGTTTATTCAACCTTCCAGTCACATGAGCCTGAGTTTGACTACCTCAAGAGTTTAGAAATTGAAGAAAAAATCAACAAAATACGGTGGCTTAAGCGAAGAAATCCAGCTCATTTTCTCTTGTCCACGAATGACAAGACTATCAAATTATGGAAAGTCTCAGAAAGAGACAAAAAAATTGAAGGCTATAACACTAGGTTAGAAAATGGTTCTTTACTTGATCCAACAAGTGTGAGCAGTTTGCGAGTGCCAACAATTAAACCCATGGAATTAATGGTTGAAGCGTCACCTAGGAGAATATTTGCGAATGCACATACGTACCATATTAATTCAATATCGGTAAACTCAGATCAAGAAACGTATCTTTCAGCGGACGATTTGAGAATTAATTTATGGCATCTGGAAATAACAGATCAAAGCTTTAATATTGTTGATATTAAGCCAACAAATATGGAGGAGCTGACGGAGGTCATAACCGCTGCCGAGTTCCACCCTGTAGAGTGTAATTTATTTGTTTATAGTAGCAGTAAGGGGACAATACGGCTCTGTGATATGAGGGCGGCGGCGCTTTGCGACAAACACGCCAAACTGTTTGAGGAACCTGAAGACCCAACAAACAGAAGCTTCTTTTCAGAAATTATTTCCAGCATCTCAGATGTTAAACTTTCTAATTCAGGAAGATACATGATTTCAAGGGACTATTTATCTGTTAAAGTCTGGGATTTACACATGGAAACTAAACCCATAGAAACGTATCCGGTAAGCAATAATATAAATACATATACATATATTTTGTACAAATTAAATTTCTTATTATTTTAATATATATTTTTTTCGTTCTAAATTGTAATATTTTAAGAAAATGTTTACCCAAGGTGAGAAAGATAATTAACTAATTATTTGGATTAAATGCCTCAATGTTATCCTACTTCTTATCAGCTTGCACAAATATAATTCCAAGAATTATAAAACGTAGAGACAGATGTGAAGCCTCGTATTTATTATTTTGAATACAAAATTTCTTATTTTTAATTTTATTAACAAGNATATATTTTAAATAGAATTTTCGAGAATTTCTTTTCAAAAGAGGTAATTCATGTCTACATGACTTCAACTATTTTTGTTATTTCAGGTTCACGAGTATCTTAGGTCTAAATTGTGTTCGTTATACGAAAACGATTGCATATTCGACAAGTTCGAGTGTTGCTGGAATGGCAATGATACGGCAATAATGACTGGTTCGTATAATAACTTCTTTAGAACGTTTGATCGGACGACGAAACGCGACCAGACGTTGGAGGCCTCACGGGACATCGCAAAACCGAAGACTGTTTTGAAACCGCGTAAAGTTTGCACCGGTGGCAGGCGGAAAAAGGACGAGATTGGTGTGGACTGTTTAGATTTTAACAAGAAGATACTGCACACCGCCTGGCATCCAACAGAGAACATAATAGCTGTCGCCGCAACCAATAATTTATTTCTTTTTCAAGATAAGTTTTAGCATAACATCGTTTAGTTCAATCTGATCACATATTTCTGAATTTGTTTCGTTCGATTTTCTTGTGATCCTAGGCCACAACGTACACCAACAAAAAAGAAAAATTATGACCACAACGAAAAATTAGAAAATATATGAAAGATCATCACTTTGTATACATAACCAATCGTTTTTGTTTAAAAACTTCTAGTTCGTACAAATATTTTAAGTGAAAAAGGGCTGTCCCTTGCCCGCCTCTTTTGTGAATCAAATTTGTAACGTTATCGTCACTTTTTTTACCGATGATCATTTCTACATTTAAATTTATGTTGTGGTTACCGTCTTAACGTTGTGGTCAGAGAGCTCCCGCCTCCCAAATCACCAACTTGCATATGCGCGTACAGATAACATATACTACAAACACTTTCGCTAACATCATCGTGTTTTATATTTGCTATTTTTTTTTTTTTTTCTAAAATTATTTTCCGCGATACACTGCGGTTCATTGCGGCGTCTGTGCTGTAACGTTTGTATTATTATTAGATAATTAAGATAATGATGAACTAAATAAATATTATATTTTCAGCAGGTTTTATTAATTAATTTGGCCATACCGATTTGTTACAAATTAAATTACGTGCTCTAGCAAATGAAAAGGATTGATGATTAAAGTTTCTCATATTTTTATTTTTTTTTTTTTTTGCCTTCATCAAACCCAATTGCATTCTTCGAGTGAAACATCGTAAAGACGTTTAAAGCACGAATTGCCACCGCAGTTATGGGTCTCGCATCTTTTTTTTGTGTAATATGCTGTTAGCGGCACCTTTGCTTCTAAAATATAAGAAACTAAGTTGTACTGATTTGTGAGTAAAAAAATACAATGTTATATTTTTATAATTTATTTTTTACTCCTAAATAACAATATTCCTTTGTATGTAGACACGGTAGAAACATAAAAAAAGAATAAAATAGGAGAACAATGATAACAAAAAAATGTTTAACTTTGAAAATGTTTCGGATATGTTTTGAGGGTAAAACAGTTTTAATAGTAGCAGCTTGCACAAAAATACTGGAACTGTAGCTGCGAGGGCAGATCGCCCTTGCGTACCTGCCTACATTTTATATATGTACATAAATGTTTGAACATTAAAACTGATAAGATATGATGGACAATATTAAATTGTGATAATTTCAATTCAAAAGTAGGAGGAAAAGTTTTTTCTTTTGAGTTTGATAAAAGAGTATGTATATGTATAATTTTAAAGTTATGCAATATATTTTTTTTAATAATTTATCAATATTAAATACATTCTTTTTTACTTTGTGTTAACACAACTCACACTGTTTATCATAATTTTTACAACCACTTAGTTATTTTAAGGGAATTAGCAACTTTTTAGCACGTGTTTGAGCATCATATTTTTTTTGTACATGTTTTCACTCAAGAATAATGGAATTAATTTATAAAGTATTATCGAAGTGCTCAAGTGTGGAAGAAATTAAGAAGAAAAAATAAAATGTTTTAATATAATATGCCTATAGAGAAAAAACTATTATAAAATGTAAAAGAAAATGTCTTATAAGGGGGTCGTATTATTAGATAATGAATGATGTTGCTGATTATCCTAAATGTACTTTTT